GTTGAAGGAATGCGGCGGGTTGAAACGGTGGTTGTGGATCCTCCGCTTTCGGTGTAAGGTGTGCATTGTGAGGTCGTGTTAGGGAGTGTACCTGACACCTATTCACCTTACAGAGCATAGGTTGTGAGATGGTCGGGAGGTACCGCAAGAGGCGGAGAGATGGATGGCACCGGTCGAGGAGATGGCACCGAGGTGCGCAAAAAAAAAAACAAGACCGACATGATTTTACTATTCGATTTCCGCACCGGGGTTGGTCAGATCGCACCCGGTGCGATCTGACCTACTCCCAAAATCTCAGATCGAGCTCTTTTTCAGCTGCCGTGGCGAGGTACAAAAATGTGTGTACTCTGTGGGGTTGTGCCCCTCCCCTGTTGTACCGAGCCCCCGAGCCCCCGAGCGTCGTTCTTGAAGACTTTGAGGGTTGCGCATTTTTCAGTCGGGAGGGGGCGCGCTTTTCACTGAACGTCTGAAACAATAGCCCGGGGCACCAACAAACCTGTGTGTTCTGTCTAAGTGTTGCCAATCAAACGCTCCTTACAACAAGGTGTATTCGCTGCCAGTGAGCACGTTGTTCTGTCTTTGTACCAGTGGTATCTGTTCAAAGAGGCATCGGAGTTTACCCAGGTTGAAAAGGCCGTGGATGCGGGGACTGATTGGTGGGTCGCAGACCAGAACAAAAGAAAAACGCTGACCCACGCACGTCAAGAAATATCTCTCCATATCATTACGAAGCGGGTGTCGCCAAAATTCCAAAATTATGTTCTCTCTCTCTTTCCCCCAATCTCTCCCCTTGCGATCTTTGTTTGACAAACAGCATCACCATGTTTAACGGGAAAATCCTCAGCAACGACAATCTCATCCCCGGCAGCGGCATCACAAGCAACACCACCTCGCCGCCCGGTCGTGGTGTGTCAAATCGTGCATCCTCCGGTCTCAGAGAGGCTGCGATGATGCGGACGCCGCCGCGCCACGGCGGCGAGCGTCCATCCGCGTTCCCGAACACGAATGAGCTCATGCACGACAGAGACTCATACATGCCGACTGATCTACAAGACCTGCTCCGCCTGAGTGCAAACATTCTGAGCATCGAGGAGGCGTGCCGCGAGTTCGGACCGAGTAGTTTCCATGCGGTCAACGCAAAGATGTGCGAAGAGCACGCGCAAGATCGAATGAGGTCTGCGACGGCTAGAAGGGGCAGGCTCAGCCCACTCATCGATCGGCACACGGTCGGGCGTGCTGAACGTCGGCCGTCAGTCAGATCGATGAGTGGGCTGAAGCCTGCCCCCTCTAGCCGTCGCAGACAACAGTCTATCTTGCACGTGCTCTTCGCACAACTTTGCGTTGATCGCCGCATCCACGCCTTTTTCAGCCTAAGTAAATTACGGCGCCTCTTTCAACAGAGTGCCACTGACAATGAGCCGCGGAGCCCGAAGCGCGACCTTGCTTTTCCCTCCTTCCCAGGAGGGAAAAAACAGGTTCTGAAGATCGGCCTTTGTTGTTCCGCCGCGTGGAAGAAGGAGCCCCAAAGTTTGATCTCCGGGAAGCCTGAATAGCCCTCATTTTCAATCAGAACGAGGTCTAGAACACTAATTGACGATATGTTGGCTTGTGAGGAAGAATAAAATAGGGCACTCTCCACCACACCGGTTTGGTCGTGCTCCGACAGCAGATAGCCGTGCTTCACCGACATTTGTACCCAAAAAAATAGGAGATACCCACCACACAAGACGTCGTATACACACAGCTCGCGGGGAATAGCTTTGTAATTGCCGCTGGGTCATTTTATGTGGAGAAACAACCGAAAGACCAAATCGGTATGGAACGTACGTATGCACACAGGTCTACCGTCGGCGACATAAGATACCACACCCGCTGTACCGATTGTTAAAGCTCGAGTATTCCAAGACGAAGCGGGTGCATTAACCCAGCGGGATGTTATTCGAAAGCTCTCGACGAGACGGTTCCCGCACCACCATTTTCGGCACCGCCACTCTTTGTCTTGTGGAGCAACCGAACTTTGAAAGTTGGTCCAGGGGGTGTGGTATCTTGTGTCACCTGGTACTGCTGTATGCGCACGAATCCCAACGGCCGTTCGTTGAAGAAGGAGCCTTTTTCTGCCACCTTCGCCACCACAAAAAGCATCGCAGATAGACTACTGCAAAAGGTATTGAGTCGGCGACCCCGCGCCTCATTACCACGCCCTATCTTGTACTAAGACAGAACAACGTGCTCACTGGCAGCGCATGCACTCTTCGATTAGCCAACGCATGCCCCGGTAGTCTAGTTGATATCCTCGAAAACCTTCCTATGGTCAGGGTCAGGGGTTCGAATCCCGGCGTAAGCGAGCTTTCTCGCAAAGTGAGTTTTTCTCTCGCTTCCGTTCCTGGCCTGGGTGGAAAGCGGTAGTTCGTGTGTACACAGAGGGAAGAGAGTGCTGCACTCTTCTCGCATTAAAAATCGAAGGCAGAGTACCGTAGGAGGGAAGGGGTGGGTAGGGGGAAACCCTTCTCTGTGTGACCATGGGTTGGAGTAAAACGGCACAAGTGCTGTGAGCGCTGAGTTGAAGTGAAGACAAACAAAAAAACACCGTCATGCACAGTGGAGGGCCCTCAATAACGCCGGTTGAATGTTGAATGACACCGGCGGCCCTCTATAGCGCCGGTGAAACTGCTCGGCACAGCCAGAGCCCTCAATAGCGCCGGTCCGGCGTTCTTGAGGGAGGCCCGCAATAGCACCGGTTTGGGCACCGCTACACCCCGCAATAGCACCGTTTTTTTTTGTTGACAAACACACAAACCACACACTACGCACCTGCCCTGAGGAGGTTACACACCAGTAGGGGTACACACGTGCATCTACAGACCCTACAGCTCTACGTAGGGCGCACCATGCGCCAGACAGACTTGGGGGGAATTCGTTGCGACCGAAGATATTGAAGGGGAATGAGGAGGGGAGACAACGCGGGGGTGTAGTCAACGCCGGTATTTCTTGCTGGTTCTACGCGGCATAGCGAGTTTTGTGTCTGATTATCTGCATGTGGCTCTTCTTTCGCGGCCGTTTCTTGTTATTTCTCGCTACATGAACGAAGGGTGAAGGAGTCCTGCTGCACGTTGCTCGTCCAAATCTGTTTTCCTTTGCTGTTGTACGATTCTTTACAAACAAGTTTTCCATTCAATGGTGCATTGGGTGCAGTTGCGTCGTCGCCATTTCGCTGTCGCGCAGTCCTTTCTGTAACGGAACATTTCCGGCTGCACAGCGCCTAGTTGTGAGGCAGGAGGATCAGCATGCTGCCGCCATTCTACATAGATAGATGATCAGATAATAAGCACAACTAATTCGGCAGTCCAGGAACATAATTTATCCTTTGCAGTCCGCCCACGCCACCACTCAATCGTTTCCTATTCAATTTGTGAATCTGTTGGCTCTGTAAAACGCAATCGCTGCGCCACATGACCACAATCCCTCAATAGTCCCACAACCGGCGATATTGAGGGTTTCTGAGCCTTCTATTCCAATAGCGCCGGTTGTGGCGCTATTGAGGCACTTTCCCAATAACGCCGGTCGCCCTGAATAGCGCCGGTCAATGCGCCGGGCACATACCGGCGTTGTTGACCCCCCCCCCCCTGTACTTGTATAGGGAACTATTGACATCGGGAATTTACCACAACGCAAAAAAAATTGCAATACTACACGTAAACAGGTATCCGCTTGGCTGACTTTTCTTCGCTCTGTGGCTGTAGTGTCGGTTATACTCGGCTGGAACAGACTGAGTCACCAAGTCCTCCTGTAATTCGAATAGTGCCGGTGTCATCTATAATGCCGGTCAATTCTCTGGGCAAATACCGGAACTAAGCAGGGGCCCTTGCTGCTGCTGTGGGCGCTAATTAAGGCAACGCATACTTTTTTTATTATGCATCGGGTTAACCTAAAGCAGCAGTAAGGTGATATGAGGGCAAATTTAGCCAACGCATAATACACCGTCGTCGTCGTAATTCTCCGCACATGACCGTTAAGTGAGAAGTCCGACAGTGGCATCTAAGTCCGAATGGTCCTTGTGCGGAGCTTTTTTTTTTGTGACAGACATGTACGTCCAGCGGAAAATCTATATTTTAGATTCTGCTGTAGTCTAGACAGACTAGCGGCAGAAGAAACGGTTAAGCCGACCTGAGAAGCCCGGTCGCCGTGCTCTCTGCTCGAGCCGCGAGGCAACTGGTACGTACTCGGTGGTCTTGGCCGATCAGAATCGGGCCCTTCGACCGACGATAAAACATGATCCGGTCTCTGATGGGACGCGACCTGACTGACGACCAAGATACTGCCAAACAAAGTACCACGGTAGGAAAGAAGATGGAGCACTTCGGCCTCTTGTCAAGCCAAGCTGGCCTTCCTGTGAAAGCCAGGGTCGAGAAGGCACAAACAAACAAAGGGTTCCTACCACGCATACATATGTATGTCGAGGGACGAATGGGCACAACGGCACAACAATCGAGGTTCTACATGTGTACACATACATGCATACATACCTGCCGTGTGCACTAAATACCAAGCAACAGACTTTTTTTTTTGCCGAAAAGCTACTCACGGTACTCTGTAGTACCACAGCCCACCACGCACACCTGTTAGAGAGTGAAGGTGTCGTTACTGCGTTGCGTTGTGGTAGGCCCACCCCGGTTCCGCTGCTGTTCGGATGAGTTGTGAGGTGTGGGTGGTGATGCGTTATGAGCTGAGGGGATGTGGGATGTGTGGGTGTTGGATGCTCCCGATCTCCGTCTTCTTCTCTCGTTGCTCGGCTGCTCGGTCCCTCGGAGATTTCCAGTATCAGGTTCGACGGTATATGCTTCGCCGAACCTTTTTGGAACCATATTGTTTGCGTACCCCCCCCGTGATGCAGCTTTTTTCCCCCGCTCCTCCCGCTTGCGGCTGCTGCTATACCCCTCTGCTCACCTCTCCCTCACTTCCTCTTCTGTCGTCTCACTGCACAGCCAAGAGGGAAGGGAAGGATGTCGGGGTTCGAGGATAACGGTGGAAGTGCCGAAGAGAAGGTGGGCGCCATACGTTGTACGTTGAGCAGGAAACGATGGCCGTTCATCGTTTGCGTTAGGATGGCATGGATGACTGGTGCACTGGTGCATGACTCTATCCCTCCATGCAAGTCACCTTTCGTGAGCGAGCTGAGGGTCAGCCGCTATTCTAAACGTGCGACATGCACGTGTACGCTGTTGATGGAGTTCCTTCGTTCTGATACTTTCAATTCTTGCGGTCGTTCACCCCAAAATACAAAATACTTGTGCCTTGTGTGCACCCTTCAGAGTACCATGCCAACTACCACCGTATATACAAGATGAAACACCCCCTGGACCAATTTTCAAAGCTCGATTTCGCCACGACGAAGAGAATGTATAGACTAAATGAAACAGGACATTTTCGGAAAGCTCTCGACGAGACAGGTTGAACGCTGGCCCACAGTTTTCGGCGCTGTGACTCTTTCTGTTGTTGAGAAATCGAGATTTGAAAAATCGATCCAGGGGGGTGTGTTATCTTGTGTCATCTACGGTACTGTAGTTGCATGAGATACCACACCCCCTGGACCGATTTTGAAGGATCGATTACTCCACGACGAAGAAGATGCCAATATAACATGACATAATGCGTTCTCGGAATGGTCTCGGTGATAGGTTTCCAACGCCGCCATTTTCGGCACAGAGCCGCCGTACCTGGTAGGTACAGAGCTTTGAATAGTGGTCAGGGGTTGTGGCACCTTTATGTGGCCTGGTACAGCAGTACCCTCCTGCTTCCAGTGCTTCCCTCGCCCTCAATGCTCTATCTACAACTGATTGCGATAGCTGGTTATTCTGCCCCTTCTTGAAGTTTCTGAACCTACGTCAATGCCCGCAAACACTGCTGGAGAAGGCAGCGAAATGCGTGCCTCGCATGGTTGCGTTCTTTCAAAGAGTCCAGAGCACGACGAAAACTGCAAGAAAGTACGTATGAGTAGCTTATTAGGACACGAAATGTGAAACACACACACAATGATCTGCGCTGACCAACCCATTAAACTGCAGTCGCGCGGTCCCTCTCGAAAACGTCTTTTCGTATCCAAACGCTCCCTGTGCTCCCATTCATTGATATGTGGTATGTGCACTATTTCAAATTCAAAGAGTATGGGCCAAGGCGGGGATGATATGGACCAGGAGGATCAAGAGGTGGCTGCTGGTGTTGCTGCTGGTGGCGACAACGGCGATGATGAGTTCATGGAGGCGGGTGACATCGCAGCGGAGTTTGAGGTGAGGCACGGCACGCGCAAAGTTATCCACTAGCTACAGTAGCCCAAGTGTGCTTGCTCTGGTTCTACAGGAGCGACACCAACCGACGCGCAAGCCTGGTAGGGAGATGTGCTTGATTGGACGGGAAAGAAGGATCAATTTGATGCTTGTCGCAGAGGGCACAGTCACCCCCTTCAGCTGTAATGCCAAATCAATTATCACAGAGCTGTAGGTTAGTTCGGGCTTTAGCAATGAAGCCCGTCTTGGACATGCCGCAAGTACGTGGGTCATCATAGCACACCCCCTGGACCGACCTTCAAGTTTAGCTCCCCAACAATTTACCATGTCCAGTCTGAAAAGGGTGGTTTTGGAAATATAGTATATCATCGAGAACTTTCCTTGGGCATAGCGACCGGCTTTGACGATCTCGTGGTGATGGACCAACGGAGCTTGAATAGTCGGGCTTAGAGGGTGTGCGATGCCCATCACTACAATGTTACAGCATCAAACGCGTGTTTCCTACGATTTGTGATATCAATATCACGTGCACGACTTGGTAGTGACAAGTGTGACGTAATCCAACACCTCTAATCATCAACCGCCTCCTATGCATGCCATCACGCTTCGATGCGACGGCCGTGTGTCCGGTACTGCCTGCGGCTGGCAGATAGGCGACGGAGAGGAAGAAGGCGGCGGCGCGGGGGCAGAGGAAGAGGGGGAGGGAGAGGCTGGTGCGGAGGTGGAGGTGGAGGACATGGCAGTCGCGACCTTCACGGGACACTCGGACGCAGTCTACTGTGTCGCTGTCCATCCGAAAAACCCTTCCCAGGTGCCAATAGTAGATGGTTCCACGCAACGGGCTATGCAGCGAGTAGCCGCAGGGAGCGCGTTGGGTATGCACGCCTGGTGTGTGCTACATTCAATCAAGTGGGGGGAATGCGAACTGTTCTACATGGACAGGTTGTACACAGCTGCACTGCGGAGTTAAGCTCGTCCTATTTTCGGAGGGAAGCGTCACCTATCTTGGTTGACATGTGCTTCGTCCCGATTGTCTTGAAATTTTTCCTCTCTTATTCTTTTTTATGTGCCGTGACCGTGTGTACTGCTGTTCCTCAAGTGCCCTGCGTTGAAAATAGCCAGCAGTATTGTCTGAGCATGTGTTCTGCTTCGCTCTAGGTGACTACATGTATGTTGAGTAAAAACGACTTTTCGCGAATAAACAGCAAATTATTTGGGACCACTCTTCCGAATGTAAAAAAAAGTCAAGACGCTCGCCTGCGCTGAGTCTTGTTTCGACGACGCACCTACCCTGTGCAACTGTAGTTCGTGACCGGCGGAGGCGATGACAAGGGCTTCCTTTGGACTATCCAGGACGACGGGGCTGTTGGCGGCTCTTGCGAACTCGGCGGGTGAGAAATTCTTGTAGACGTCTTGAATGAGCCAAGTCGGACTGGTCGGATTTGGAGGATAAATACCGCCACCAAACGGTGTTGGATCCTGTGGTAGAGCAGTGCGTCGGGCGTCTTGAGCTCTGCGTTCCATCATTGGTCTACTGCTTGATCCACCCAGCGGTTCCGTACATGACAAGTAGTGTGCTCGTATTCGGTGAGCAGGAAGTTGGTCGTGCTGTGGCATGTCGCCCTGAAACATAAAGTACTCTACAGTGGCGTCGTCGAGACTCTACTGGTTATCAATTGTGTGGTGTTGAATAAAGCAATAGAAGTACGATACGAACGGTGAGGGGGAAGGGAGCGCAGAGATTTACCGCTCTATGGATATCTTCTCGGAAATCCATGTCACTTTAATGCCAATGCTCTTGCGGTACTTCCGTGGGATCGGCGAGAGGACACTCTTCCTCTTGCGTATGGCATAAGTTGTAATAGTATTGTATTGCTTCGCTCCATCCTCGGCGTAGGCACCACATCATCATCATCATCATCATCCCTGACCGTGACTAGACAAAAGCATCGATATTTTTGTACCTGCTCTTCGGCCTCGATGCAGATCCCTCTTTGCGCCCTGCAATTTGAACCTGTGACTTTCCGATCCCAAAGCGAACACGCTACCACTCAACTCTCGCATGCCTTGTAACCTGAAAAACTTGAATCTCTGGTTCCGATTATTTTTTCCCTCTTTCCGCTGTTTCTCGGGGGGGGGGGAAATAGGCACCCCGATACGGTCTCGGCCGTGGGCTTCAGTTTAGACGGAAGCCTCGTCGCCACGGGATGCTTCGGGGGCCTGCTGAAGGTCTGGGAAGCTGCGACGGGTGGTTTGAAGCATGTCCTGGAGGGTCAGGAAGACATCGAGTGCCTGGCGTGAGTCGTCGTGACGTTAGATAGCCAAGACATGTTGATCCGTCTGTAACTTTACGTGAGGCTGTTTTTCTTATGTCGTACAGGTCTTCGGGAAACGAATACTACTCGTATTCGTTATTGACATGTTGATCCGTCTCCGAGAACGAACATGGTGCTAGGCTGTTTTTTTTTCTTTCTGGTTTTCGGAAAGCAGCAAGTACTCGCATACATGGTCGGCACTGAACAATACGTTGGGTTGGCGCCTGGTTCAGCAGGGGCGGGAGATCGACGGTCTCATTCCATGGTAATTTAGTAGACACCTCCGCGGGATACAGTATATTTCCGAACAAGAAACGGCACCCCGAAGGAGGAGCCATTGCGTGCTTCTGCCCGTTTTTTGCTGACAGTCTGCGCTTTGCGGGGTGGGATCGGGGGGAAGGAATTACCGAGCGTTATGCCGATTTGACGCTGGAAGATTGGCTCGAGGAGTATAAACCTGGGCGGGTGGACAACGTGCAGCACCTCATCTATCTTATACCCCTCGAGATGATGGATCGACAATATGAGGTGTTTTTCCCCCTCTACTATTACTATACATCCTCAACACTCAATACACTGGACGCCCGAAGTTGAGGAAGTGCCACTCACCACAGTAGTTTGTTTTTTCGCCGTCAAGAGTTGGCCATCCACGGCACGTTCATCCGACTACCTACGGGTTGGGAGCGGGTGGTACAGTCTTCGATGGCCCAACGAAAGGTTGGAGGAGTCGATGGATTGACTCGGTGAGTGAATCGAGTCTGTTGCGCCGCCCATCCCTTTTCCGGGTGCCACTCCTTCGAAGAACCTCCTTGGAAGAACGTCGTGCTGACAGAGCAAGAACCGGTCATGTTCCTTTCGTGCTGCTGCTGCTGCTGCTGCTGCTGCTGCTGTTGCGAAGCAATCAATCAGTGTGACTTTCTTGTCAATCGGTGTTTTTCCAGGTGGCACACGTTGGGGAGTGTTTTGCTGACGGGGAGCCAGGACGGTACCGTGTGGATGTGGGAGGCCACGGCGGGCACGTGCATGCAGGTGACATACGCATGACTAGTGCAAAAGGGCTGAGCGTAGGAACCATCTCCACGTCGAGAAAAAACGCATGTGATGAGTTACCTGAAAAAGAGCGACAACTAAATGAAAGTGACCACAGGTCAACTGTAAAGAACATCACGCGGCTGTGGCTGTCAAAGAACGCTCAGTCTCTTCATGGGCACAGGAACAACAACAACATTAACAACAACAACGAAAAAAAAAAAGAACGGGACGGGACCGGGCGGGTGGTTTTGGAGCCATCAACCACCTTGCCCAGGGTCCTCTCTGAGAAGAGAGGTGGAGAGGCGGGGGGAGAGGGGGGGGCAGGAGGACGCTTAAACCCCGTCCCCTTCTTTCCTTCTCTCCCTTCCTTCTTTTCCTGCAAACCCGAAGAGCAGCGGATCGCGCAAACGACCTTTGATGACTACGCGGGCAGAGAACAGCCGGGTGGACAGATACGGGCCGAACATTAACCATTCCATGGTGTTTTCTTGTTGCGGTTTTTCCATTCCAAGCCGTCGACGAAGACGTATACACACCTCCCATCAGGAGCCCCCCCCCCCGATTCTCTCTGACTACATACCGTTTTGTAGATGAGTGTTCCTGCTGAGAAGAAAGTAGGTTCCGCCGCGCTACATTGGCAACGACAGTGCTAAAGTGTTGCGAGTATCGTCCCCTGTGAGTTACCTGCCTCGTACCGTAGGCCGGAAGACCGAGGGTTCCTGTTTGGGGCTCCAGCGTATTCATGGCAAGGCCTTTCGGCAAACAATGCTGCAACAAGTACATCCCCTTCCCGAACAGTCTGTTGCCGGGTACAAGTATCCGGTTTGTTTGTCCCAACGCTTCCCGGCTTTTGCTGAAACCAAGTGATAGGGCCTGTTCTGCTGATTGTTTTTTTTGCCACTCCGGTAATCAACTTTTTCTTCGCGGCGGCGCAAAGCAGCGTTGGATTGTGGTGGTATGTTTATGTTCAAACAGCACAGAGAGAGAGAGAGAGCATTGTGAGGCACTCTACGAATTGGCAGCCAAGCTTTCTATAGCCCCCCCGCCGTCTCATTGGTAAATTGTCACCACGATAAAGAAAAATGTTCCGAAAATGTTGCGAAAATATTCCGAAAATGTCCCCCCGCTCCTCGAAAGCTCCGTCCTCTCGAGGACTGACGCGTGGTCAATGTTCCAACAGTTCACAAATGCAAAACATAGGAGTACGCCCCCCCCCCAACTCCTGGTCCGGTGAGAACCCGGCGTGCTCCGCGTCGGCTTTGTAAGGATGCGAGGTCAATGTTCCAACAGCAATCAAGGCATATGCAAAACATAAAGAGTACCCCCCGCGCAAATCCTGATAAATTATATCATCTAGGTGTTCGCCGGGCACGAAAGCAAGGTGTCGTGCGTGATGTTCACGACTTCCGGGAAGGCTGTGGTCACGGCATCCGACGACGCCACGGTGAGGGTCTGGGCGCCGAGAACAGGGGAGTGCCGGCATTCCTTCTCCGGACACGGCTTCCACGTGGGGTCGGTGACGTGCCTGGCCAGGTGAGCAAGGGCAGAAGCAGGCACGCGCGATCGCATGGGTCGGTCAGCGCTGTGTACGGAGTTAAGGGGCTTTCTTTACGCGAGCTTTGGACTTGGTCAGGAGGAGCAGCAGACATCGTCGGTTGTGTCTCGAAGAACTGGCGTCTAGTCTTGTTTGTTCGACATTGGGAGCTGAAACAATTGTGCGCGCCTGGTTGAATATATCTGTATTTGTCTTGATTTTGTTAGCGCAATATTTTTGTTTGGCGTGCTTGCCCATGTACAGTACTTCTTTATATGCGTTTGTTGTCTCTCAACGCTCAACCCTCGCGCCCCGCCACCCGGAGGCTTGGAGTTATTGACATTCCTGTGTTTTTTTGTTGTACACATACCCAGCCCCAGCTCTGGGAACCGTGATCGCCGTTTCGATTCAGGACCAACTCCTCCGCCCCCCCAGCCCGACGAGAACACGTGTACACACCAGCAGTCAAGGCAGAACATCTCCGTGCTCGAACCCCCCCCCCACACACACACACACACCTTTATTTTGTCCTGTCAACAATGAAGGACCAAGCCGTCCGATTTGAGCGTACCGTAAATGGCAGAAGTCAAGTCAGAACATCCTAGTACTCAGCCCTCCCCCCCCCCCTCCCCTCCCATTTTTGTTGTTGTTGGTAGTCACCCAAACCACGCGCAGGCGGCCCTTGTAATGTCGGGGGGCGAGGACGGCACAGCCCGCGTGATGCACGTGCAGAACAAGCGCGTGGTGGGGACAATGGTGCACTGCGACGCGGGAGCGGTGAGCATCATGTCCAAGCCGGGGGGGGGGGGGGGGGGGGGCTCGTGTGGGAACCGGGGAGGTGCCAGAATTTTGCGCAGCAACGGTGCCACTGGTATTGGAGAGCAGGCGTACTCCAGGGGTTGGCCGAAATCAGCCCCAGGCTTTTTTCCAGTTTAGTTTCGTTTTTTGTGGCGGAACTTCTCGCGCCCCGAAGCACTAAACAACGTTCAAACAAAGAATTACCTTGTAAGCTTGTGGCCTGCCGTTGCTTTCGGTTCCCCACCTTTGAGAGCCAGCCGCCGATCCGCTTCCCTGCATACCTCAAATTCTCCAAACTGATGTGGTTATTTCCATCATTCTAGATGAAATTACACCCGGGCGAGGGTGTTACCAGAGAGCGCCGTGAATCTGCTTCCCTGCATGTATGCCTCAAAGCACCATGGACAGGTGCGATTTATGTTGTTTGATCATCCTAATCGAACTTACATCCCCGCTTGGAAACACGAACGCACAGGGGTCGGTCGAGGCGGTCGGTTTTTGCGCCACGCACCCTTGGGTAGCGACCGGCGGTACGGACGGTGGGATGAAGGTGTGGGACACCGTGTCGGGGACTTGCCGACACACATGCTTGCACCCGGCGGCCGTGACGAGATTGGAGTGGCACCCTGCAGCTCCGGTGAGCGGGGAGAGAGAGAGAGACACCAGCGGTGGTGTGCTGCTGTTGTTGTTGTCGTTGTTCTCATGAGAGAACGGTTATCTGTGTGTGTTTTTTTATTATTATTAGCATCGACCGCGCTAACCGGCTGACCAATGAACAGACGTCAGTCTCAGTGCGGTTAAAAAGAAAACATGCTTCTAAAGGCCATTGCCATCATCTGGGACCCCGTTCGACGGGGCAGTGTGTCTAGGTGGGTGGGTGGGTGGGTGTTTGTTTTTGCGTGCTACGTTGTTTTAAATTGGCGTTGAGCACGCTTTCCACGCTGACCAGCTTTCCACGCTGACCAGCTTTCCACGCTGACCAGACCAACGAAACGAAAAGACGCCGTTCTTCTTGAAGCGTTTTGTTTTTTGCTCCGTCGGGTCGAGGGGTACGTTGAAACGCTTGCTATCACGCATGCCCCACGGAGTTCTCTAAGATGGGGGGGGGTTCGCGGACGGGGCTGAAAAAAGACCGCTTCGTCTCTGGAGCCGTAGCACTTTATTAGCAGACAACACAACATCACCACATACCCGGCGTTTTTTCATTGCCCTCATTGACCCTTGCACGGTGGGTCTCTCGCAGGGGGGGGGGGGGGGGGGGTACACTGTTGCACGCTCGTTGGTCGTTGCCATCCTCTGCCTTGAACCTTGAGCTCGTTTTGACCGTTGACCGCGGTTCCCCTTTCGCGACGGGCGGACCGTTGGAACCCTGCCGTTACAAACAGCAGTGCCACCAGCTTTCGGGCCGCCCTCTTTCACGCCTCTGCCCTCTTTGTGCCAGTGCAATGCCTGACTTATCCCACCCGCGGTTCTACCGCATTTTGCACGCTCATCCAGCCGGCCACTACAGGTAACCAACCCCAGTGTTAGGGTTACAGGGTTAGGGTCACCCCACGAATTGCTTGCGTTTTTGTTGACCGCTTGGGATGTGTGTCCGTACCCGTGTCTCTTGTCACCCCAGCTGGTGTTCACGGCCTGCGTCGACGGAAACGTGCGCGTGTGGGACGCCCGCACCGGCGTCTGCACGAGCCTGTTCACCGGCCACACGGACATGATCCTGGACATGCGATTGGTCGACCCGCGATCGCAGGCGGCAGGTGCGGGAGGGGGGGGGGGAGGGGGAGAGGTTGTCCCCTTGTTGGTGGTGACCGCGTCGGACGATAACGCCTCGAAGGTGTTCCGATGGCCCTCTCCGGGTGCCGAAGCCGCGGCAGCAACGGAGACAGCAGCGGCAAGGCCAACCGCATAATACTGAAGCACGCAGGCCGGGGGCGAGGAGAGTTGACCGGCTGAAGGGAAGGGCTTGCGGGTTGTTGGTCGTTTGTGGGTTCCACCAAACCCGGGGATTGTTTTGTTTGCGTGCTTCCCCTGCTCGCTGAGAGTCCTCACAACGTGGGGAGGCTCACCTGATGGCCGTTTGAACGTGACTGGCTTGGTCATATAGGGTATGTGTGTGCATATTGTAGGTTTCTCGCCGAGATTTCCAAAAGATGAGCGCCTGGTTTTGAGGATGTGGTGGGGGGTGGGGGGGGGTGGCTCCGAGGATGCGGCCTTGGAACGCTTTTTTGCGATTTCAACGGAGCTGATTTGAAGCGTCCGAAACCTCTATTAAATAGTACCTTGTACCCTTGTACCCAGACCATTGCAGGACAAAGAAATTGACTCCATTGTTTGTTCACTTGATCTTGCTTCCGCTGTGTCTATCGTATCATCGCGTGGTGCGACCTATACTGCCTCCGATATGCCTCCGATTATGACATCCCGCACCCACCCAGAGAGCAAACTACATTTGGTGGAAGGTACCAATGCCCTACCCGTAGGACAATACTAACTCGATACCTCCTGGTGGTCTAGGCTGAAGTCTTGAGGTGTTTGGTGCCGCCACCCCCCCTCCCCGTGAGGAGAGCAGAGATGCAACCTCGTCTAACGGGAGGATGATACCTAACCTCTATGCGGTTGAAGAAAACGCGGCGGTGACAAGGTTTTGTTCTAATCCCCTTTCGGCGATGCGCACGGTTTGTCAGAAAAAACTGCTTGAAAGGGGGCCCGCGGATTTTTCTGTTGTAATCGCTAACCCCTTTTCGCATTCAAAAATTGCATTCTTCACAACATTCTTCACCCCGATACATACCCCTCGACAATATTGCCCCAGCTCAAGCATCGCATCTCACGAACAAACGAACTGCCACCGGGATCCCGGTGGAGAGGGGGGAATACACATCATTAGTCACGAGCACACCAGCACTGCTCCACGGTAGATGTACCGCCAGCCACGTCTTGGTTCCACGGCCTTATACAATCATACAACAAGCCGCGCTTTAGTGCTTCAAAACTATCTACTGCTGTGCCCGTGCTCGACTTATGTAGAAACCAACAGAGACACGCAAGGAAAAACACGCACACGCAGATAAGAATAGACATGTACTCATCGTTGAAAAAAGCCGCACTTCTAACGCTCGAGGAACGATTCCATGCTCTGCTGGCGGTGTTCTCTACCACCGCAAAGATGCCAACCTCGTCCTCGAGCAAAAAAGAAAAGAAAAAAGGTGCCATCGAGAAAAACAAAAAAAGTGTTTCTGTATTCCTCGCAACAAGAGACCGATCAAAATACAGAGGACACACAAAACAGCACTCCACATGACAATTTTCCTGCCAACAGTTGCTTCATTTGTGCACCGGCAGCGCGACAGACGACCCCCCCCCTACTTGTCCTCCGGACCGCGCCACCCCCTCTAGAAATACTCTCTTCGCACGCATCCTGTACTTACACCACGCAAACGCGGGCCTGTAACAGTCGCAATTTGCGTCTGAAAATCTCCACTTTCACGCCACGCCAAAGCTGACAAAATTACATCATTCCGTCCTTGCGTTCAACACACACAAATATGCTGTACAGCAGCAAAACCCTCTCAAGCTAGACGTTATTTTCCTCAAGTCTGCGATACCCTTCATGTACAGTATAACAACCCGCGCGCCTATCGAAGCCGAGCACCAAAAAAAGAGACCCAACGCCCGCACACACTCCTCGACGTGGACCTAAAGTACCTATCCAGCACCTTCGACAGCTTGACGTTGGTTTCAAATCCCGATGCTTCGTACGATACTTACCAGTCTTGCGCTTACAACGTAGCTGGTGCACGCTTTAAGAACGGAGGTAAGTAGTCACGAAAATACCGAGATAGGTGACATCCCCCAAACTAAGCTAGCTACACGGGGCTGTGCGGAACGAGGCCTGTGTCCAGACTACATCTACCTTGAAATGCTGGGAAAGGCTTCGAACGAGCCACCCAAGCGTCTGCTCAAACCGCCATCCATCATCCTATACCCCTACAGCACCTGTCGCGCAAGACAACCCATTAATAGGGTAAAGCGTCAAGTCTATATCCCCTACCCCACACCAAAAATCGTGAAGTCTATCCACAAACGCAGCGACTTGAAGCCCGAGATAGCTGGATCCCAAACCCATCCCACGCCGCTGTAAAACACGGCTCGCGGCTCAAAAACTGACGCTCGCTGATTTGTCGTTCGATACGCCGAACAACGGCTGTGTCTTTCTTGTCACCCGCCACAGGGAAAAACAACTACCGGCGATCAAGGAGATACGAGAGAGGTGCGCATATTTTCCATCAACCTGCCGACCACAGAGGCCACCTCGTAACCCATCCAAAATTTCGCTCTTTGGCCTCAGGTCCTCACGGCAACACAGCAGCATTCCGTGTGAATGTATATACCGTGCCGAACCTCCCTCTCTTGCCGCAGGCGTTACATGTAACCGTCACTCCCACCACCGTCGCCCAGCTCGGTTGCCCTCCACTCCCGCCACTCCTTGCCCCGAAGCGCCAACCGCGAGACCGCCACCCCGAGACGCCGCCGCTTGACCACCTCGCGGGCTCGCGTTCCACGAACTGCTGTGGATGCTAAGGGCGTACTCGACGGCCTGCGTCGTCGACCCGTTCGACAGGCGCGCCGCGTTGAGGGCTTCGCCCCACCCCATGCTCGGAAATATTTCCACCAGCTGCTGCGCCACGGCCTCCAGGCGACGACGGTTACCATCACCATCACCATCACCGCCGCCGGCCGCCCTCCGCCTCGCCCCGCCGCCGCCGCCGCCGCCACCGCCACCGCCACCGCCGGTGCTTCCCGCTGCCGTTGAGGATGGTGGTGGTGGCGAATCCTCCTGCCCTGACGCCGCCTCTCGCGTACGGCGGCCGTTCCCACGCCCCCCCCCGTAACTTTGTGGGACCTCGGCTGATGCCCTATGGACCTAA